CCTCGATGTCATCCTGGCCCTGGAGGCCCATTTCATCGCCCTTCGAGAGACCGGTGCCAGAGGCGCCCACTCGACTTTCCAGTGCCACCTGCGCCAAGAAACGCGCCTTGGCCTGCGTGGTTGACAAAGTTAGAAAGGAAGTGATCAGTAATTGCCATGCGTGCATTACACTGTAAAGTGGGCATGAAATGGCTCTTTGGTAGTAGTTGAAGGGCAAGTCTAAACTCGGATGACAAAGGCAAAACATGTATGGCAAAAAGGAAATAAAGTCCATATAAGAATGTGCAACAACCGCGGAAGCGCCCAGCGAACTATAATATGGTTAAGGAGCGATCTACAATCGCGTGACGGGACAGTTGTCCCGTTGTGTCCCGGTGCTCTCTCGAGCTCCGCCAACAGCCGCTAGTATTATAGGCAGCAGAACATGACCAAGTGACACTGCAGTGACCATTTCTGATTTGTCAACCGTCATCAATCTACCATGCCCAAACCCATGGCAAAACAGGACGCACATGCTCCGTAACGCGATTGGTGGAAGTCTATCTACCATTTTTAATATATCCAATTGCTACCAGCAGGACAATACGCCTATGGCTCAGTGGTTGGAGAGTTAGATTCCTAACCAACATATTGCGCTTTCGAGCCTCAAGAGATGCAACAATTTGGGCTGGGTTGATGACGACTAGCAAGCCAGAAATGGTCATTTTCATATCCCTTAAGTTGATGTTCTTCGGCCTGTCAGTAGAACTGCTGATAATCCGGCAAGGCCCGGGGGTGCGGCGGCAGCCAACTGATGCATCCCAACGGAAAAGAGGACTGAGACTGAGGGCCAAAGACAAGCAAATTGAGCCGACCGAAAGGGAATCAATGGGAAGACCGCGGGGGAGGGATCATAAGTAACTGGCGGGAAAAAATGTCTTCAACTGAGATGGGTGCTGCTGGTGTCTCTGCGGATGCTGACGGAAGGAAAGCCAACCAGGCGCAAATGCTGAAAGTTAGAGTTGTCCTACGGTAAAAGAAAGACGCGTTCTATGTAATGCAATGTTTACTCCAACGTAAAGTGTTCTGCGAACGGTTATGGGTAAATTGCGGATTGAGGGCTAGGTAATGTTGCGTTGGTAGCTAATGGGGACACAGGATATGGAAAATCAGAAGTTTTTTGCTAACGGTGAATTGCCGCTCAGTGGATTTACATTCCCATAAATATCTACTTAGTTTTGCTGAGTAGGTGGGGTTGGTTTGTCGGATCCATTTCATATAAGCATCAGTTTATTGACGGAAAGATAGGCGAACGCATTTGAACTCGCTATTGGTAACAAGATGATAGGAAATGTATGAATACAAATTAAAAATTGAAAAAGTACGTCAAGTACATGCTTGCGGGTGGAAACACAGCAGTCGTTAGTTAGTCGAACTGGTAATAAAACATAACTAATCGCGTATTACCAGTAGTATAATGTCATGTCTGTACGTTGGCTAGAAGGTGGCTGGGGAAATGAAGAAGAATGCTATATTGAGGATTTTACAAACCTGAATTTTCAGCAATTTTTTTTAAACAAGTCAAATTTTT